TGAGAAGGCAAGCAATATGATAGTAGTTGTCCACGTGAAATCATGCAGATGCTATCCAGTTTTCCCAACCATTTTTACCAGATAGTGAGCCCTCATCTCAGTAGCAGGGTCTTTGGGTTTATTGAACACTAAGCTACTGTTCTTGTTTGCTTCTCTGTGTTGTATCCCCTAGCACTTATTAATAAGTGATGAATTGAATTATAGAAAGAAGCGGGAGGAAGTGTCAGGTAGGGATGGGAAGGAGATGTTTCTTTCCATGGATCTCATCCAACTTTTCTTTCCCAAGCACTGCTGTGGAAAGCACTGGGGCTGCTAAGGCAGAGGCGGAATCTCGGGCAGAGGCTGCTCGGATTGAGGGAGAAGGAGCCATACTCCAGGCCAAACTGAAAGCGGAGGCTTTAGCCATAGAAACGGTGAGTGGGAAGCACCTTTAACAACCAGTGTCCTGCAGAAAAGGTTCCCTGGTTTGAGCCAAAGCATAAGAGAAGGGAACCTGAAAGGAGGAGGCTCTTTCCCCACAATGTCACCAAATCTTTCAAATTCATTCCTACTTTTGGTGCCTTGGCTCATGCTAACGAGTGCACTGTGGAATGGCATGGAATGGCGCTCCCTGCTTATCTTTCAAGGCTCAGCTGAATTCCTATCCTCTGCATAAAACCTTTCTGGACACACCAACCCCTAGAGATAGGCCCTCTTTTTTGCATTTCTGGGGCAGGTGTATTTGTGCTGCACCATTTAGCATTCATTCATGCCTGTTCTTTTATCTCCGTTCTGTATTTGCTTCACATGTGTTTTTATCCATCCTCGAGGTCTGGGATGTGTATACCTCTCCAGCAGTGCCAGCCACAAAGCAAAGCACAATAGATTACAGTGGTCATTCTCGTTGTCCCTTATGGCCTGAGGGGCTGATTGCATTTCTGTCTTCAGGAAGCAGAGTTACTTCGAGTGCAGAAAGCCAGGGAACAGGAGCTCACCTATGCCAAGGCCCAGATGGAGCTGGAACTGAACAAGGCGGAGAAACTGGCAGAAGTAGAGGTTAAAAAGTTCAAGGAGATGACAGAGGCCCTGGGCTCCGGCACTATCCGGGACCTTGCACTGGCAGGGCCTGAACTACAGGTAAGCCGGCTAGGAGAAATGAGAGAGGAGGCTGCTCCAGCTTAGGGGTGGTCAAGAACAGGGAGTTCTGTCGTAGAGGGAGGTCTCAGCAACACTGAGAACATTCTTCTGTCCCAGCTGGGGAAAAGATGTCTTCCTGAGAGCCAGAGGCTATGTGCCTTGGGTGAAGAGGGCAAAAAAAATTGCCATTGATGTGGCTGGAAGAGTTTGGAGTTCTAAGGGGACTTTGGACCTCTTTGTAAGATGAAGAGGTTGACTAGAGACAGTCCCTAAGGTCCCTTTCAGCTTTGGTGTTCCCTGATACTTGTATAGTAGAAAGAAAATCAGAACACCTGTATACAAAGTCCCTGCTGTGTGACCCTAGGCCAGTTAATTAACTCCACTTAGCCCCAGAGACTCTCCTCAGGAAGGTACTGAGAACATGTTAGAAAACTGAAAGATCTATATAAAGGAATTATTTCCAAGGTTCCTTCTAGCTTTAACATTTTATCATCCTATAATGTTTGTGTTTCCTTCTCTATCATAGGTGAAACTGCTCCAAGGGCTTGGACTGAAATCAACCCTCATTACAGATGGCTCCACTCCCATCAATCTCTTCAGCACAGCCACAGGGCTTCTAGGGCTTGGGGTACCTGGGTATCCTACAGAGCCAGAGAGTAAGAAAGACACAGGGAAATAGGGACTTCTTTTTTTTTTAGGCAATTGGGGTTAAGTGACTTCCCCAGGGTCACACAGCTAGTAAGTGTCAAGTGTTTGGTCTGAGGCTGGATTTGAACTCAGGTCTTCCTGACTTCCAGGCTGGTGCTCTATCCACTGCACCATCTAGCTGCCCCGGAAATAGGGACTTCTCCCCCAGCTCCATTGGAGAGTTAGACTACTGTCCTCCCTGAAGTCCAAGGAGAGGGCTTTCTTCCTATGCCTTAGTTTTTCACTGAAAAATAAACCCTGTTTCATTTAAGTGTTTGTCTCTCTGCTGCTCTCATTTATGGGGATTTAAGGGGAGGAAAAGGACAAGATGCCTGTAATCCAGGAAAGGACCATAGGAATTCTTCACACTGTCTCCTTTAACCTGGGTGGGCTGCTTGAAGGTGGGCCTAGCTTGCTTTTCTCCATTTGTGGGGTGAAAAGAAGCAGCAAAGCATAATACAAAAAAACACTAGACTTGTGTGATCCTGGACAAGTCCCTTTCCCCTCTGAGCTGATTTGACCCAACTGAGCACGGGCCAGAGCGTGACTCCTTTCGCCTGTACGTTGGGTGTCCCCTCCTCGCCAGAGGCAGGGTAAAAGGTAGAAAGGAAATTTAAAAATAGAAAGTAGAAAAGGGTGCCTCTATATGGAGTACCATACTCAAAAGCAATTAATTAAAACCAGAAGACCACCTGGTTTGGAGGGTCTCACTCCATATACTTTGATTTTTGCATTTCTAAAAAGTTACTGAGGTCTGTTGCTGATGATGAAGGTGCTGGAGAAGCATGATACTTACTGCATGTAGCCCTGAGGGAGGGGCCAGGTCTCTGATACTCTTTTCTTAGCCAAAGAACCAACCAGGGTATGAGATGGGGGCCTGGGAGGGATCATTTCTATTCCTCTATAATATGTTCTTTTTACAATAAAGAAAACACCAAGAAAAACAGGCTTTGCAAACTAAATCCCACAGTTCTTTCGACACATGTTGAAAGTGGGTATTTTTAGTAGTGAGTAGGATTTTATATTTCTAATGTGTAGTACAAAAAGGCTTCACAGGTCAGAGCAATGGTGCTAAGTCATACTTTTCTGTGATGGTGATTTCAGGTTGAAGACTTCTACTACAATTAGTTATTATTGATCAAATTTATATATTTTTAAAAATTTAAATCCATCCTTTGCTAGAGAGAGAGAGAGAGAGACGTTTTAGGGGATAAAAATGAAAAGAAGCTAGACTGGATGGATGACAACTCTAATCCTAACCAATCCTAAAATATAATTCTGGATCTCTTTTGTGATCCAGGGGAAGCAAATTTCTTCCCCAGGACTCCCAGTTTTGAGACAGTGAAGACAGCAGACATGCTTCTGAATGCCTTCTGGATTTAGCAGGTTGGTCCTGACTTGCTCGGGCCTCTAGCTAAAAGCCTCTGCCAGATGGGACAGGAAGAATGCCATCTATCCTGCCCACAGATGCCTTGTGTGTCTATCTGATACTAGGTTAGGTCTCAACATCTCATCTACAGCCTGGCACCCACGTGGCATTTTTGAAACTATTTTTGTTTTTGTGTTTTAAGATGACACAATTCTAGGGGCAGTTAGGTGGCTAGAGTGGATATGCAGTGGAAAGAGCACAGGCCCTGGAGTCAGGAGTTCCTGAGTTTCAAATCCAGCCCCAGACACTAGGTGAGTCACTTAACTCCAATTGTCTCACCGCCCCCCCCCAAAAAAAGACAATTCCAGTGCCTTTCCTTTAGCTCTGACCAGAAGCAAAGTGGTTCACCTTCCCTGAAGAATTCTCCATTCTAAGCCTTCTCCCCCGCTTTTCTCCTTCACAGCTTGCTTCTCCCAGCTTCATGACACAATCACAGCTTTAGCCCACCTGTCTGGGTTTTAAGCCTAACTTTTGGTAGGCGTGCCTAGGATAACTGAAGGGTAGAAGCTGGAAAGGACTGTAGGGACCACCTAGCTCAAATTTATAGCTTCAATTTTATAAGTGAAGAAATGGAGTCCCAGGGAGGCTAAATTAATTGTCCAAGGTCAGACAGGTAGTATGTGGAAGAGGAGGGATTCAGAGAATTGGGATTTAGAGCTGGAAGGGACTGTAGAGGCCATGTAGTCCAACCCCCCACCCCACCCCCAGATAAGGAAAATTAGGTCCCTCTCTCAAGTAACGACAGAAGCAGTATTTGAACCCAACTCTTCATCCAGCATTTTTCCCTCCCGTATGTACACAAGCTGTTACTTCACACCTACCTCCAAACCTCCCAGCTCTCCCTATCCTTTCTCATCCCCTGGCTGCAGCTAACAGTACGAGATCTCTGTGCCCAACCACGTGGCCTTGAATTCATGTCGGGGCAATCCTACTCTGTTGTGTATGTTAACAGGCCCAGCAGTCAAGATGGTTCTTTAGTGCCACCTATGGCTACAAACACTCAAGCTAACCGCACACCCTATCTGGCCCCACCCATTCCACTCTTCCCATCTCCCCTCCCTTAAGAATTATTGACATTTTCCTGATGGGGAAACAGAATCAGATAAGGGAAGTGACTTGCCCATGAACCTTCGGCAAGGTCTCCTGACTCTGTAGTAAACAGATCTGAACCAAAAGAGCAGTCAGTGGCTCTGGAGTTGGAAGCCTTGGGTTCAAATCTCACTCTCTTCAACACTCTGGGGCCTCACCTTCATCTGTAAAATGGGGGGGTTGAACTAGAAGGCCTCCATAGTCCCATCTAGCTCCAAAGCTAGGATTCTTTGATCAGTGAATGGCTCTACTTGCTGAGGGGGTCTTCTACCAGCACAGACCTTCTAGAGGTTCAAGGCGATGCAAGAGCTACTCCTACCCTCCCCCGCCCAGGAGTTCACAGTCTCACAGGGGAGATACAGCCACAAGGAGACAACCAACAATATCAGAATATTAAAAGTACCTAGAACCACGGGCAATAATTGCTAGAGTAAAAGGGAGGGTCCCGGGGGCTAGAAGGAATCATAAAAGACTTCTCAGAGTATTTTGACAGCTGAAGGGAAAGAGCCTTCCACTGGTAAGGTAGAGGTGGAGGCGGTGCAGGAGACAAGCATTTCACTGTTTCAGTGAAAGGAAGTTACAGGGGACATGAGCTCTCTTTGTTTCTAAGTTTAAGTGACTCAACCCATCCCCACCATAAGAAAGTGAAGACATAAGGAGTGAAGACAGGAGCCTGAGCTCTGATTGTGAAGTTTCCTCCTTTATCATCAAGGCCTCAGGGCCAGATTACACATCATGAGACACAGTACAACAGGGAAGGATCCAGATAGCCTCCTTCCCTCCTGAGTAAAGTCCCCAGGGCAAAGACTCCTCCAATTCGAGACATATCCAGGCCAGGATGAGAGGAGTTTGGCCCCTTGTGGAGAGCCAGTCCCCACACCATCTCCCTCAAATACAGCAGTACCATGCTAACATGCATGGATCACACCATCTCCTGGGGTTGGGGAACAACAGCCCCCTGGCCTGGCTCAGTGCAAAAACACACCCCTGTGTCTCCACACCTGCTCCCAGGCAGCTCGGCCACCCTTGAGCTATGGCCATCCCCAAGTCATGGAGGCTATGGCCTCATCTCCTGTGGCTGGGACTTCCATCATTGCCCCCACAGAGAGTCCTCATTTGATGTCTAGGTGCTACCCTCATCTCAGGGAAGTGACATCACATGGGAGTGGAAACAAAGAACAGTGACATCCTTGAAGAGATTCTGACAGCATTGGGGGGGGGGTGAGGGGGTAACACAGCACTGTGGAGGACATGCCTTATACTATATAAAAGGCTGACCTCATTGGGGGAGGGCAGAACAGCACCGTGGGGGATAGGGGGCAGGGCATCATGTAATGGGACTGGAAGTTTGCTGGAAGCAGAAAAGACATCAGGGCTATTCCTTCTTGGCGCGGTCAGCAGCATCCAGGGCAGCCATGTTGCGTGCAGCAGTAACCAAGTGGATGGCACTGATGAGGGACTTGAGAAGAGCGATAGGAGTAGAGACCCAGAGTCCCATTCGGAACAGACCCACTGAACCCACTGCAAGAAGGCAGGAAAAAAGTCCAGTGCAGAGAGGGGATTGATAAAAGAGGAAGGAAAGAAGGAAGGAGTGAAGAAAATGAGATCAGAAAGCAAATTCAGTATCTAATCAACTCCAATCTGCCCAACCAAAAAGAAATCTCCCCCTAGCTCCCACTCCCCATATCTTGTCCTCAGACCCTCCTCCTGGCCCCCATGTAGCATCACCTCTGGGTTCATACCTAAGGGCCCTTCTGAGAAATTGAGCAAGTAAAGCAGACAGTAGAAAAATTCATTCCCAGCACACATGATGAACAGCACTGGCTGCAAGAAGAAGGCAAAATTCATGTTTCTAACTTGAATAGTGAGCTCACAAAATCTTTCTCTCTCTCTCAGACAGACAGACAGACATACACACACACACAGTCACACACTTATATTTGTTCCAAAACCAGCTGAGACTCCAAAGAAAGGCAGGCTGTCTGGACACTGAGAATGGAGACTGGGGGCATGACCTGGATTGGGACTCACCCGTGAAGTATAGTAAAGTCGAAGGATAGGATTCCCTGTTAGGTCAATGGTTTTGTGGCTCTCACTGCCCCGGACCACTGAGCTGAAAGGGAAGACATGAGAACATCAAGTGTTAACTCTCCTACTCGACTTCTTACCCTGCCCCACCTCCCCAGGCTACTACCCATATTTCTCTGGATAACAGTGGCCACTAGCCCACGTACTCTCTCTTGCCTCCAAGCAAGAGAAGCCCATTCCCCAGCTAAGTATCTCTAGGGCTTCCTCTTTCTATCAGCCTCATCCCAAGTGAGCACTAGCACCCCTCTGGAAGTAACTACGGCAAGATCAGCCGATAATGGGCCACACCCAAGACTACAATTTCTCAGCCCACAAGGAGTGGTGGTTGTAACCTGTGTAGGTGCAGCCAATGGCTGGCAACGTCTAGACTCATGCTGAGCTGGAAGAGCAGGGTGGCCCGAGGGTAGAGCAGAGCCAGATTTACCAGCAGACACATGGTAGAACATCGATCAGTTAGCATGTCCAGCATCGCCCCAAACCGCGTCCCTAATTATGGGCGAAGGAAGAGAGCCAGTAGTTCAGGATGAAAACAATGGGAGTGAATGGACCAGCGCCTAAAGTTTGGTTGGACTCAGCATGCCCAGCATTGCTCCAAACCCACAGATGTGCAGCAACTGAGAACTCAAAGGTGTTCATTCTTTCCTGGGCCCAGAGAAGACTATAAGTCAGAAAGAGCCTGCCAACTGAGATACTGATCCAAGAGGAGAGGATCAAGATTAGAAGGCATGATGGGTGGGTGAGAGGGTGTTCCACCATGTGGAAATGAAAAGAGCCCTGGATTTCAAGCCAGGGTTCTAGGTTTGAAACCCAGCTCTGTTATTTATCATCTGTATGACCTTTGGAAAGTCACTCTCTGGGCCTCAATGTCATAGGTAAATAAGGACATTGGACTAGTTAGTCTATAAATACCCTTCCTAGTCTAAATCCTTACAGTACTATCTCCCAACTATGCTCTAAACCAAGTCAAAAGTATGAGGTAAAACCAAGGTAAACAGAATCAGTCATCAAAGCCAGAGGTGGAAAAATGCCCTGAACCTAAGGCAAATAATCCAAAATCCAAAACCTTGAAAAAGACACTGAGCTAAAGATACCTACAACCCTCCAAATGTTATCTCACTCCTCCCCCTGGCTCCAGGAACACCTATCTTAATGGCTGCTGACTGATCAATGAAGCCACAGGAGGAATCCCCAGGGACAGAAATGCCCCGAACCTACCTTGCTCACTTAGTTCTATGTTTTAGACTCTAACTACCAGGGAGCTCTTTCTGAAAGCTGATAATCTAAACTCTTCCTGACATTAGTAGTGACAGACTATTCCCTCTGGTTCTGTCCTCGTTAGACACGGTGTCACCCCATTCAAAAGCACAGCCCTTCCCAAACCAAAGTCCTGACTTGGAGAGGGAGGAAATGGAGGCCTCTGAGGGGTGGGGGAAGTGGGGAACCTGGAAAGGGGGTAACTGCTGGACTCTTGGGAGTCCAGGGAGGAATGAAGGCTGGACATGCAGTCACCTTGATTCAGGGTCCTTGCTGCATGTCCGTCGAAGGCATCCAAGAGCCCACTTAGCAAGTAGAAGGAGGAGGCTGTGAATGGACAGTTGGGCATGAAGTAGAAAGAAATGAGGGCGAAGAGGATCCGGGCATAGCCTGAGGATAAGGGAACAAAGGGTTCAGAGCACTGGAACAAATTTGAGTAACAGGAAAAAAAAAAGGCTCGCTGGAAGTGGAGCCTGGCCAAACCCCACAAAGACACGGGGGGGAAACTGAGGCCCGGAGATGGGAACCCACTTACCCAAGGTCACGCATCGAGTTCGGGACAGAGCTAGCGCCAGAACCCAAGACTGGCGGACCAAAGGAATCCCCTTCCTGGGCCAGGCTCCGCCCTCGCCCTCCCCGGGGCCCGGGCCGTGGCTCGCGGTCCGTGCCCGACGGACTCACCGATGAGATTGGGCACAAACAGAAAGATGTTTTCTTCCGGCATCTCGGCGGGGCGTGGACAGCCGGCCTCTCGCAAGGGGGATGGGAAGTGGTCCCCCGCCTAGCCAGCTGAGCAAGCCCTGGCCCCCGGCTCTTGCTCGGCCCCTCTCCTCCGCCCCTCGGGACGTCCCGGCGCCGCAGCTGCGCAGCCCCTCCCTCCGCCCCGGTGCATCAGCAGCTCCGGGGTCGCAAGGGACCCCGCGGCCCCAGTCCCGGGCGAGACCCAGATGTGCAAGCCCCCCCCGTCGTCCCAGGCATCCGCCGGTCCAGGTGTGCAGCCGCCGGCGCCTCGCCTGCCTTCCTGCTGCAGGGGTGCAGGTCCCCTAGGCTGCTCGCTCGGGACCCCGAGAAGGGTTCAAGGTCATTCCTCTCCACCCTTTTTCCAGTCGTCACAACACCAGCTGTGCGGGGGGAAAGCCCCCCGTGTCCCGGAAATCTGCTCTTCCGCCCGTGCTGACGCAAAATTGGAGGCCAAAAAAATGGCTTCTATCCCTTTAAGAACTGCCCGCTTCCTTTCCTTTTCTTCCCTCCGCCTCTTTCTACGGGTTTGTACCAAGTTCAGAGTGGGGAGGAGGGTACGCACACAGAGAGTAGGAATGAGTCGTAAACTCAGAACGGAAAAAGGTACCAAAGGGAAGTTAGGTAAGAAGACTATGAACTACTTTTAATTTTGTGTGAGCATATTTTCTTAGAGAGGAGTAAGAGAAGACGTATTCCACCAAAACGACCCTCCAAAACCCCTACCGGACGGTCCATTTGGTTCAGTCCTGAATCATTCCTTTCCTCCAACCCCGACTCCTCCCAGCCTTTTCATCCTCTTTTGGTCTCAGACGCTCTTGTGCATCGAGGTGGCAGCTAGAGGGTCAGGAAGAAGCTTTAGACTAGAGGGAGCTGACTCTATAGATCGCCCCCTAGCGCTGAAAGGATACTATTCTTCCAATATCAAAGCCCATTACAGGGATAAATAATCCTCCCTGCCCTGGAAGCGGATTAGTTTTCCCCCGGCAGATGATGCCCTACCGGAGAAGAAAGAAAGGGATGCCGGGAAAAAAAAAAAAAGATGACTTCAGATTTGACTTGTAGAACTCAAAGGGGCTGTTTCCTAGCAACACGCTGCGGAGCTCCCTCAGCCTGCGTGGTTCCCGGGGTAACCTCCCCGTGCCACTCTTCCCCTCCCCCTTCCATCCTCTCAGCCCTCTGCGTCCGGTACCCATAGCAACAGCACCGGCGGGGCAACGAGAAAGACCTCCCCGTCTCGCCCCTCCCGGGCTATAGGCAATTTCTACCTAACATCAGGTCGGGAAATGGGAAACTGGACCCTTGGGTTTGGGAAAGGATCCTGAAGACTGGGGGGAAAGGGGGACTAGAGCGAAGGGACCAAATTGAGGAAAGGGAGGGGTCAGCTGACGGAAGGGGGAATGGAAAAATGACTCGGGATGGTCTGGATGCTCTTTGGTCGGAGAAATAGAGGGACTGTTTGTGTGTTAATCTGTTGGAGAAAGGAGGTTTATCCAAAATAACTGATAATGGGATGGTTTCAGGCTCTGCCCCGCCCAACCCCTTAAAAAAAAGTGGGATGACTTCCCATCTTAATCCTACCTCACTTTACCTGTTCACAGGGGGATGGAGTCCAGTCCTTCAGGGCCTCAGGAGAAAAAGGGCACTCGACATTCGTACAATTCTGCTACACCAGCTGTGAGTGTTGTGGGAGGACTGAAAGGGAAGGGGGGCAGTTCCTTCCACCAAATCAATCATCTCACCTGGTCCCCTCAACTTTCATCCCTCCTGCAAGATTATCACCAGGTCTGAGGAGTATTTGGCTCGTGTCAGCACAGAACTTGCCAACGAGGCCCTGATGGGAGCCCAATATACAATGAGCCCTGATGTGCCCAAGGAACTGAAAAAACTGGACCAGGGAACTCAGATGTCTCGACAGGGTGATGCCTGCGCTAATACAGTGCCTTGCTCTCTAGCCCCTAAGTCTTCTCCCTAGGAACCCTGGCAGCCCCTCCCGTAGATGCCACTTCCACCTAACATCACCTTTACACACAACTTTGCAAGCACTTGTGTTTCTTTTCCTTATTCTCAATCTCACTTCCCACCCCACTGGCTAGCCATTCCAACCCCTTCTTCTCTTTCTGGTCACAGAGAGAGGGGCACTCTTTCTAACCAGGGCCTATGTTTTCAGTGCTGCCAACCACTCGGACCAAGGGCACAGATCCTCGGTGAGAGTCCCTGAGGGGAAATGTCACATCTCAGGGCACCAGGGAATTGTAAAGAGAAACAATAATATTGTTATGCAGTGCTTTTACCATTTGTTTTCCTCATAACAATCTTGTGAGGTTGAGAGTGCAAGTATTATCTTCCCCATTTTACAGATAAGAGAAAAATGCTAAGTGACTTGCTCACAGGTCTAGTGCCAGAGCCAGGCCTTGAAGCTAGGTCTTCAGGCTTCAAGTTCAGGGCCTTGTATCACAAGGGAAGAGGGAAATGAGAAATCACCTTGGGGAGGAGATCTTGTGAAGAACTGTAGGTGGGAGGGAACTACCATGTTTTCAAGAGGGAACAGCTGGGCAGCTCTCCACCAAGAAATTCATTTTTTTCCCCTCCATCCTTATCCTTTTTTCTTCTTCTTTGTAGTTCTGACAGAAACAGGACCAGAAACAAAACTCATCTCCTGCCATCCAGAGAGATAGTATGTGATAGGTTACTTGGGTCCCCTCTCTTCCCACTGGTTGGGCCCCATTGAGAGCTAGGAGAAGTGGTAGACTGCAGAAAAGGATGTGAAAGGGAGAAGATTCTTATGCCTTCTCATCTGGGAGCGGAAACTACAGGAATTCTCCTACCCTAGAATAAGAAAGATTATACTTCAGATCCCAGAAACATACCAAGCCCCTCTTCTTTCTGGTAATGTTCCAGGTTGAAGATTTTAAAGATGACAAGGTAAAATTGCTGAAGTCAAAAGAGAAAGACCTATCCCAACACAAGCAGGTGAGAGAGAACCTGGTCTCCTTATTCTGTCCCCAGGCTAGCACCTGGGATAGAGTTTTGCATCAATTTTTCACCCTTCCTAGGTAGAGACTGTGCAGCAGGAGGAAACTCTAGGTGGGACCAAGTTTTTGACTACTCGCCGGCCTGCTTGTCAGCCCTCTACAGATCCAGAAAGCCTCTCTTCCCTTACCTCCAGGAAAGAGCAAGGAAATATCAAGGTACTTTGAACTGTGGGTGCAACATTTTAAGATAGATTCAAAGGTACATTAACAAAGTAGAATTCACCCAAAGAAAGGTGACCAGGATCAGGATGGGCCTGGAAACTATTCTTATATGTAGCTCTTGAAGGAACTAAGTCTGTCTAGCTTGGAAGAGAATAGACTTGGGGAGAGATATGAAACTTGACTTCATAGATTTGAAGTACTATCATCTGGAAGAGGGAATAGCTGTATTCTGTATTACTATAGAGGGAAGAAATAGACTCAATGGAAGGAAGTGACAGAGAGACAGATTCCCATTTAGGAAGGATTTTCCATCAGAACTGCCCACCAGCTGCCTCAAAAAGCTCTGGGTTACTAGAAGTGTTGAAGTAAAGACTGGATGACCATCTCTCAAAGAGGTTGTAGGTGAGATTTCTTCATTAGGGGATGTTAGGCTAAATGACCTACAAAACCCTTCTACCACTAAGATTCTTTGGGGGTGGTGTTTGGTTTTGTTGTTTTGTTTTTTTTTTGGCGGGTTGGGGGGGAATTGCCCAGATACATAGGATCTAGGTTTGTGGTAATAATATGGGAGGAATGAGCAAAAGGTCAGGAAAAGATGGGGAAAAATTATAGGATAGGAAAAATAAGTCACTTCTCCCATCTTAAGGATTAAAGAGTACTTTCCTCAGGATGCTTTAGAAGCAGATATTCTTCTGCCTTGGACTTTTGATCCAAGAAGCAACTTTGCCTATACAAGGCAAAGCAGAGGGAGCTCACACTTCCTCTCCTCTTTTTCTTCTCTCCCCTCAGAACATGGCTCACAGTCCCATTCTTAACAGTTCATCTGACAAATCCCAGGATGGACTCCTGGCTATGAGCATCACCATCCCTGAGGCCCAAAGACGATCTCAAACAAAAATAACGTTCTTCTTCACCCCCTTCTGCTCGGCCATGACACCAGCAGGAAACAGACACTAATAAAGAGACGGGGACCCCTGCCTTCCCCTTCCTCAATTCAGGCAATGCTATGGTCTGACCATCTCTAAGGAGGGTGATGAATGGGATACAGTGCCGCTGGTGCAAGGGAGGGAAGGGAACAGGGAATTCACCCATCTTTGAGGAGTTCCTCAGCTGTATATGATCTACAAGGTAGATTGTCTAGGTCACATGACATTACTATTGAACCACAGGCTACCCCTCCACAACCAGCTTGCTGGAAAAAGGCAAATTCCATTTTTTATAGTAGCATTCATCAAAGCTCAGTATCACAAAAAAAGGATAGATATTATGAACCACCATCATATAACTTAATCCCTAAAGAGAATGAAAAGTGTTTGTGCACTATTCAGTATTACAGATTATCTGCTGGGGTGTTTTTTTTTATCTAGTATTATTGATAATCTGCTATTTTGAATTATCTGTTCCTTTGAATTCCCTAGTTTGGGATCATCTCTCCCAGAGTTTCCCTCCATTATTAATGTTGTCAGTTGAGGGTTGGCTATAGAGCTTTAAACTCTAGGGATGAGAGAAGTTCTTGGCTCTCCTCAAGCCATTATGGTGGAATGGAATGAATACCAACTACACAAGGAATCAGGGGACCTTATTTCTAGTTCCAGCTCTGCTCTAAATCAGTGTGTGGCCTTGTACAAGTCACTTTCCTTTTCTAGGCCTCTTTTTTCTCAGCCGTACAATATAGTGGTGAGATTGGATGATCTAGAAGTTCCCTTTTCATTCTCCCAGCCCCATTTCTCTCTGAAGGGCTGTTGCTGTTAGATCTTTAGTTAGAGTTCAAAGGGCATTCTCTCCAAACCTCAGTTGAACCTAGTCAGCTTCCATAAGAGTGGGTCTTATTTTTGCATTCTCCCAACAAACACTGCTCCTCCCTCTTCCCACTTATAAGCTGCCCCCACCATAACACTGGGCCCAGTTACAAATGGTGATTTTCTGTTTATTGCTTGAAAACAAAAATCCAGAAGCCAGAAGGGGTAAAGGGTAGAATTGGGAGAACCTGGAGGTAAGGAGGGACTGCAGGAGATAGGGGGTCATTTCCCTAGCCCTCCTACTCTTACTCTGCCTAGCATAAGGACTAGAGCTATTGGGCAAAAGGGACTGGTTGGAACTCTTGGCTTGAGGAAGCAGTGGGTGAGGGTAGAGCAAAAGGGAAGGCCAAGAATGGACTGTGCTGGTGGGACAGGAATTTGTGTGGCCAGGGAACTGGCAAGCAATGAGAGCAACCAGAGGGCAGGGAAAATGGTGTCATGCCCTCTGATATCGACCCCTGGGGACCATTACCTGGTGGTAGCCACAGGGGCAAGTAGGTCAGGACCTGGACTAAGGGATATTACCCCTTTCCCCTTACAATTGACCTCAGTACTGAGCAATCAAGAGACAGCCCTGTATTTTAGGGCTGGGGAGCCAGATAATGGGTATAGGAGGCAAAAGAAAGGACCCCCTGCATTTGGCAACAGAGAAAAAGGATGACTTGGGAGGCAGGATGCTGGCTTATTTACCAGAGGATCTCCAGGGTGTTTATTGTCCTTAATGGGGTCTTAGAGTATTTACAAGGAGGGGAAGGGAGAAGCATGAGGTGGTGAGAGCTGGAAGTGGAGGGTCCAGTTCCCTTTACTTCCTCCCTCCCCCTTCCCAGGTTGGTCTGAGTGGGGGGGGCATCAGGAAGGGACACCCAAAGGTCCTGCTCCCTCCATTGGTTCTTAGATGGAGACTTCATACTCTCTTGTATCCTGGGGGCAGAGATAACAGTGTCATCTGTCAGCTTGTTGGGGGTGGGAAGCAGGGTAAGGAGGGCAATAGTCACCATCTGGTGGCCCCAGGAGGTTCTTAAAGGATAAGGACTTTGGGTGTGGTACAGCTGTTCTGAGGAGAGTCTGGACAGAGGATTGAGGATTTTTGATGGCTGCCAAGCCACTGAGTTAATGAATCTGAGAGGGGAAATGAGAGATGGGGAAGGTTAGGCAGGAAGCCTACAGGGAACTTTTCAAAACAGGCTCTAGACTGGGGTTGGGACTGGGATTTATGGGGCTCATGAGGGCAGAACTCAGGTTATAAACCCCAGGAAGCAGGGCTGGGCGAATGTTGCTACTCACCCCAGCTTCATAGAGTGGGTTGCTAAAATCAGACTCCACAGTGATAGGGCTGTAGGAGTGAGATCCAGAAAAGCCAAATAGAGATTTTCCTTGTAGCCTGGGAAAGAAAAGGCAAGAAAGCATGGGTTCTGCCATCTTTATCATTCTCCATAATTCATCCCTCCCCATTTTGTCCCAGAACACCCAACAACCACCTACTACTACCTCCAAGGTTCCCCAAGGCTACAGCTTGCACAGCCTAGATGGAGCCCAGAACCAACCAATGAGCTGATCTCTTCAGGACAGGTTGAGGGTGACCCAGTCAGAACTTGGAACCCTGGGCTACTTGACCTCCAATTGGCATCCATCTTGTGAACAGCCCAGGCCCACCCACTACTCCAAAATCAGTGTGCTCACTTAGTGTAGTAGAGATAAACACCCCCAATGAGTAAGATGACAAGGCCCAGGGGCAGCAGGATGGCCAGGGCTAGATTTCCACCTTCCATTTGCCGAGAAGGATCTGTGGTCTGGGTCACTGCAGGAAGGAAAGGACAGTCAACTTTGGTATTCTGCTTCCTAGTCTTGGGCTCTCTCTTTCAAGGGAACAAGGGCCTTTGCCCTGTAGCCTTCAGTTCCCTCAAGGAACCCAAGTGGCCTGTGTCCCCCAGCCCCTGACTCTTCCCTCAGAGAGCCTGTTCCCCTCCCCAAACCCAGGCATCCTGCCCCAACCAGGCCTTGGCTCTCCCCCTCATCCCTCACTGACCTTCCAGTTTTCGGTCGTCCAGTAGCTCCTCATAGGCCACTGCAGGGAGAGGAGGGGGGAGTGGGGTCTGAGCCAGTGAGGGGGGAGGGCAGGAGGCCAGGCCAGGCAGGAGAACCTTCTCTCTTTTCCCTCTGTTCAATCTACCCAAATCCTAAGTCTGTACTTCTCTTCCCCAAAGCTCTATCGCTTCATTTTTCAGAACTCCTGAAGTGGGCCTTCTCCATAATTCTCTTGTCCTATTTCACTCCTTTTAATTCCTAAGGATCAGTAACCCTGCCTCCCCAAGCCCCATCTCCTCCACTAAGGACCTCTGACCTCCAGTTCCTTGTTACTACTTCCTTTCCAGAATCTAGGAGCTGACACAGGTTGAGCCCTCCTCCTGGCCCTTGCAAGCCCCATAAAGCCCTTCCCTTTCTCCTTTCAAGTACCTTTGCAGAGTGGGGGCTGGCTGGTCCACTGAGAGGGGTGTCCTGGGAGGCAGGTGATGGTGACCTCGCCAATAAGTTCAAAGCCCTCATAGCAAAAGAATCGGAGAGACTCCCCAGCCTGGTAGTGATGCTTGTACAGGGTCTGGTAGCCATTCTCTGGGACACCTGGATTCAGGCATGGCTCATACTTCACTGGAGGAGGCAGAAGCCAGGGCCTAGTTACTACTGCCCATTCCCATTACTTTCTCTGCACAATTTACCTTTCTTCTCAGGTTTTGGGACATTGTCTTTCCCTTCTCACTGCTACCCCTACCCTCCCACCCTTGCAAATCTCTCTACCCACAACCAGGGCCGGGAACTCACGGACACACTTGGGGACACGGTCGCTCCACTTGGGGGTGCCTGTGTCCCGGTTGTAGCAGGTGAGGACAGCTGCCCCCTCTAGACTGTAGCCAGGCAGACATCGATACTGAATGTGGGAGCCAATGGGGAAGCCCGCATCAGAAGCTGTCCTGTGCCCATTACTAATCTCTCCAGGGTCTGCACAAGTCATGACTAGACGATGACCAAAAGGAGAGAACGCATGTTAGGGGAAGCTAAGAAATGAGAGACATGGAGGGATTCTTCTTCCATTAACAAGCACCCTTGCACACCCACTACCTTGCACCCAGCACTAGCTTAAACTTGGGTCAAGTCAAATGTCAAGGAGCATGTCTAGACTAGCCTCCTATCGTGGTCTTCTGATCAGCTTCAGAAATCAGGGGAGCCTCGGTGGAAGAAGTTCACATTTGTATAGCATGTTACAGGTAGCAAAATGCTTGGCTCAGAACACCTGATTAGGTTAGGTGGAGTAGAAAAAAGTACCAGCCTAGAATGGGGAGCCCTGGTTTCTGGTTCTAACAACTAGGCCATGGGTCCTGGAGGTTGGAGAGACCTCATGAATCCCTTGGCTCGGGCCACTACCCCTAGACATTTGCTCAAGGTTATTATGTCCTTTTGCCAAATGAGGGGATTGGATTAGAGTCCATGTTAATTGTTAGGCAATCTTTTCAATTCTGACAATCTTAAATCTATTTCAAATAGCCATTGCTAGAGGCAGCTAGGTGGTGCAGTGGATAGAGCTTTAGCCTTGGAGTCAGGAGGACCTGAGTTCAAATCCAGCCTCAGACACATGACACTTACTAGCTATGTGACCCTGGGCAAGTCACTTAACCTCTATTGCCTCACCAAAAAAAAAAAAATAGCCATTGCCCAAGCTAGAGGGGAGTTGTGGGCAGGACCCGAGGGGGAGGGACTTTTGCTTTCCCTCCTCCCCTTCCCCCACTCCCTTGCCCAAGCCTGGAAGAGTAGGCTAGAGGAGCCTGGAGATCTGGAGAGGACAGAGATAGGGTTCACTCTTTGGCTAGAGTGGGGTGGAGCCCAAGGAAGGAGAGGGATTAGGGCTCACTTTTCTGGCAGGCTGGGGGCGCAGCACTCCAAGACAGGTCCCACTGACATGTGAGGATGTCAGAGCCGAGCAGCTCATAGCCAGGCTCACATTGGTAAGTGAGCACTGTACCCCGGATCAAGTCTCCATGGGATGCTGTCCTCCAGCCCCACTCTGGGGGGGGCAATTCCGGGCACGTGTC